ACTCTCACAGACACTCACAAAGACACTCTCACAGACACTCACACAGACACTCACACAGACACTCTCACAGACACTCACACACACTCTCACAGACACTCACACAGACACTCACACAGACACTCTCACAGACACTCTCACAGACACTCACACAGACACTCACACACTCCAGCGTCAGCAGCGATGAACTCTGCAGGAACTTTTAGTCATTTTGCAGACGCTTTTATCCAAAGCGACTTACAATTGGGGAATAGAAGCGATTCTTCTTAAAGAGGCAAACAGACACAGGAAGCGCTCGTAATACCAAGTTTTAGGCATTGTTCAAATCGGAGCGTGTCCAGAAGACTGCGGGCCACCATCTGCCTGAAACACACCGAACACAATGAAACAGAAGGTCAGGTAAACTGCATTGTGGGATACAGCATCCTAAATGAATAGGGTTCTATGTTTCATAGAGCGGCGTTCACCTGTTGAAGACGTTCTCACTGCTGATGTACTTGTCCAGTCGGCCCAGAGGAGTCAACATCTCATCCTGAGACACGAAATCCAGCACTGAAGACACAATAATGGGGTCAGACTCTGAGCTGAATCCATCCAAGCGATTCTTCTTAAAGAGGCAAACAGACACAGGAAGCGCTCGTAATACCAAGTTTTAGGCATTGTTCAAATAAGTACAAGCTAAAAAAGGGAAGGAATAAATAAAGAGAAAGAAAACTTCTCTCTGAAATCTCATCACTTTTTATAATATGCATCACTTCAAAGCAGCTTTACATAAATCCTGATGTTAATTCCTATAATATATTAACATCTTCATGCCTAATTAGAGCTGGACGATAATATCAATACATTTTGTGATGATATAAACAATCAAGCAGTTGACTCCTGCTGTATAGTGGATCGCTTTACGAGAGTTAACGGTGCGCACTGCTGTTCAAACGTTTGGGATCAGTACGATTTGTAATGTTTCTGAAGGATTCTCTTCTGCTCAGCAAGCCTGCATTTATTTGATCAAAAATACATCATGTGACACTGAAGACTGGAGTAATGATGCTGAAAATACAGCTGCGCATCACAGAAATACATTACAGTTTAACAGAGATTCACACAGAAAACAGCTGTTTTAAATTGTAAAAATATTTAACATTTTTTCTGTATTTTTGATCAAATAAATGCAGGCTTGCTGAGCAGAAGAGAGGTTTGTGCAGTTTATAACAGACTGCGAGAGTGTGAAGCGTAATTATGCGTCACTGACACAGTTAAATGATGCATATTAATGACAGGGTTAAAGCTTCGGTCATATTACACACCGACAGCAGTTTAACTGTAGTTATGGAACAATATCTATGTCACAGTTATTGATTAATCGACTGATAGCGGTTATTTGATCTAATCACAGTTATTTCAATTTCAATCTCAGTTTGCCATACATATTAGAGTTAGAAAACAGTCTGTAAACAGCCTCTGATGAAGTGTTTTATGTAGTTGTAAAGCCATATTAAAATGAAGCATGATTATGATCTACAGGCAGAGAAACTAGCAGAAATCTAGATGATCTGACCTAGCTGGAGATGACCCAAACACAGCTGTGTAACGCATCACTAACCAACACACCATTGTTTGTAGCACGATACCGCGGTATTACCGTGATCCTGCCCACGGTGTTCAGTGAAGCTCCGTTTGCGTGAATACGGTTATCTTCAGTGCTTCAGTGTGTTTACACTCATCTACCTCAGTTTACCACGGTATTAGCATCTGATAGCGGGTCACGTGACCCTCCGTTTATGAACCACATTAAACATAAAGCTGACGGTATATTCATAAACTCACATCCGTCCGTGTCCTCCTGCGAGTCCTGCAGCAGAGAGAGATCTGGAGAAAACAACACAATCAGAGAGAGAGAGAGAGAGAGTGTGAGTGTGTGTGAGAGAGAGAGAGTGTGTCTGCGCCGCTTCTACATTTAAGCCGCTTCTGTGCTGATGACCAACACAACTACACAAACTACACAAACTACACACAAACACAAAAACGCGCGCCTCGGAGCACTGAGCCTTTATCACGCACGCGCCGACGGCAGCCTCTAGAGCGCGCACGCACGGAGCGTCACGGCGCATGCGCAGTGAACTCTTATTTATTTACATTATTTAAAGAATTAAGCCGCTGATGACAGCAAGTGTTTTAGCTGTAATCTAAGAAAAAAACTTCACCGCGAATATTAATGGTTCTAGTATTGAGAAAATAATTGCGATGTCGCTAAATGGCTAAATGTAAATGCATTTCAAGATACTCCGAAAAGTACTATAGTATTACTGTAGTACACAGTATTGCCATGCTATTTTTGTTTGGTGTTTTCACTCAGAATAAAGATGATAATAGTAAATATATTGTAAAATTAAATTATTAATCACTTAAAGGTAAATATATGAATACCAAACCTGTTTTATTTTTTTTTATAAAAGCGTGAGGCAGCAATTCTTCCTTCATTTATTTATTTATTTACTTACTTATTTTTGTTTTAAGGATTTCTTAAACGTATTATTTACATTTTTAATGCATTTAATTTTATTGAGCTAAACACACACACACACACACACACACATACACTCTCTCACACACACACTCACACGTTGCTGTTATTTAAGTCTATGTTCACACATACATTTTCTGTGCTTTTTTATTGAATTGCTCAACATGTTACAGTAGGCATGTGAAGACAAGAAAAAAGATACATAATTACAATGAAATAATAATAACAATAATAAAAACAGGTAAAAACATAGAAATATCTATGGAAGCCTGTTTCCGCCACTGAATAAAAAATAAAATAAAAAAATAAATGCGACTTTCACAATTGTGAGTTATAAAGTCAGAATTGTGAGATAAAAAGTCGCAATCCAGTGGCGGAAACGGGCTTCCATAAATATGTATATGTATTAATCACTCTACAGTTTTCTTGTTCATCATTTAACATTCGTTTCTGCGCTTTTGTGTGTATTTGTTTTATTTTATTGTTTATTGTGTGTGTGTTTGTTGTCTGGAATGACGTGTAAGCTCAGTCTCTGCGCATGCGCACTGCGGCCTTCCCGCGCACAGCTGCTGACGCGATTCTGACGAGGCCAATAATTCTCGCGCCTTTAGCTTTTAATGAAAACACGTACTTACAGAAATAAAGCGAGAGCTCGGGACATCAAAACAGCGGCCGTTTCTCCGGTTCATCTGCGTGACGTGTCCCGCCGTGCCGCGCGTCGTGGCCGGGGCTCTTGAGCAGCACGCGACCGTGTCCCGCTGAACGGCTGTCATGTCCAAACTGGAGCAGGTTCTGATCCTCGACCCGTCGAGCGACCTCCGCTTCAGAGGTAAACACGCGTGTCGCGGCTCGGTCACGGAGGCCCGCCCGCATGCCTGCATCACTCCCTCGGCTGGCGTTCCACGCGAGGCCCGGGGACCCGCAGGCCTGTGGGGGAAGCGCTCGTTAGTGCAGTTTAATATCAAGTCGTTCTGTCTAGTGAGGGTGAATGTAGACTCGTTAGTGTGCTCGGTGTCGGTCAGCTGTCACTGTTAGCATCAGAGCTAAAGGCAGTGACTCGAGAACAGATGAAAGATTGAGATGCTGAATGAATCAGATCTGTCATTATTACTGATACGCGTTTACTGCTGCACTGTTTCAAGGCTAAACGTGTTGTTGACAAACTCGCATTTCTCCAGCAATCAGAACAGCAGTGTATGAAGTGTTTATTCCGCTCAGCTCAGTTTAATACACTGCATTTATTGACCCTCATGATGCATAAAGTCTGTTATTTTAAATCGTTATTTTATAAAATAGTTTTTTTTCAACTGAAACAATGTTGTATCTGATCAGCAAATTCTCATAAATGGAAAAAAAAATCAAGTTTTGAATATTACCATGTTATTACCGCATTTACCCCTTTTTTATTATTTAAAAAAAAAGTCGAATTACACACGAACCACAAAATTACACATAAAAATACGATTATGCCAAATATATATAGATTTTTTTAATATCCAGTCGAAATTTTATTTGAATATATCATTGTATGAAATTTATAGCAACATTTGATCTGAGAATTATCAGAATTAGAAAGGAATTTATAACTCGTGTGATTGTTCAAAAACAGTCCAAATTAATGAAACCTACATATTTATTTCAACAAAACAACATAAATATAATAATACTCATTAAATTTACTTGAATAAACTTTCACTTTCAGATGATTTTTCCTCGTGAATTTTTTCATGCTGCAATCAATAGATTTTACACAAGTTTTTGACGTCTTAGATCATTTTTTCCACTAGTTCTCTACACGTGATGCCTGGGTCCAAAATTAAAATTTGTAAAAAATGTTAATGATTACAACTCTCTTAAAAAATAATTGTAAAAAAATTTTTTTTTGTTGTTTTTTTCGATTTTTATGCATCTGTTCTGGGTCAAAACAGACTGGTTATGAGGGTTGGTTATTCATGATGAAGCGTGTTTGGTCCATCAGAACCGGCTGGTTGTGTGTGTGCTGTAACTGTAAGCATAGGAAGGAGGCCTGGGTGTTTCTGCATTATTTACGAGTGGCATGTCTGAGGACATGTGAGCCGCTCGGATGAAGCTTCGTTACACTGATCGTCCCTAACTTCTGTTGTGTGCAGGACCCTTCACAGATGTGGTGACCACTAGCCTGAAGCTGAGGAACCCGTCTGACAGAAGAGTATGCTTCAAGGTGAAGACCACAGCTCCTCGGCGCTACTGCGTGCGGCCCAACAGCGGCGTCATCGATCCCGGCGCCACCGTCAGCATCTCAGGTGAGACCCAGCTGCTCGTGAGCGGATCCGGTGTGCTGTGACCCTGACGCTCTCTCTGCTCTCCTCCAGTCATGCTGCAGCCGTTTGATTACGACCCTAACGAACTAATTAAACATCTCTTGTTCCATAGCTAGCTATTTAACCATTTGCGTACTTTTTAACTGAATTAATTTAACTGTTTTCACAATGAACAGATTTATGCTGATTCTACTGAATAAATGCATTAAAAAAATATGAATATTTAAATAATTTATAATATTATAAATGAATTATTACACATGTATGTAAATAGTTCATAATTACTTAAACCGAGTGCAGAAATCTGACCTGATTCATTTATGTTAAAACTGTGTAATCCAAATTTTATATGCAGTTCGAATAATTATTAAATTTAGGCCCAGATATCTTTTTAGCGCTTTATAAGATACTGATCGTTTCAAAGCAGTTTCACAGCAATAAACAGGAAAATAAGTGTTAATGTAAAATTCATCAGTTATGAAACTAATTCAGTTCCAGCTGTAAAGCAGCTCTACAGAGTTATTATTCAGAGCAATAACAGTCAGTGTTTCAAAGTTCATCATTTATGACACATTCAGCACACAAACATCTGCGTCTTCATCTCAGATCACAGTCCATATTAAATCAGCTGTTATTAAATAAAGCAATAAGCCCCGTGAAGCCGTGGTTTACAGTGAATTAAAGTACAGTTAGGTACGACGCGATGCAGAGTTATTCCATATACGTAGTACGGTTTCACAGAATAAAACAGAGCAAATAAAGTGTAATGATATTAATAAAAACAGTGTTCTTCCACCAAACAATGCGGCCCAACAGCGGCGTCATCGATCCCGGCGCCACCGTCAGCATCTCAGGTGAGACCCAGCTGCTCGTGAGCGGATCCGGTGTGCTGTGACCCTGACGCTCTCTCTGCTCTCCTCCAGTCATGCTGCAGCCGTTTGATTACGACCCTAACGAGAAGAGCAAGCACAAGTTCATGGTGCAGTCCATCTTGGCACCGGCAAGCGTGAGCGACCTGGAAGCCATGGTGAGCCGCTTCTTCAGCTCTATAAGGCCTACATTTAAGAATTGCATATACAGTTCCATGCATTTGGATTACAGTTTGAGCACGCACTAATAACCGTGATGTGATCATATTAGTCAGTCATTCATCACTGAAACAGGTCAGATTTCTGCAATAGTGTTTTAAATACACAATATGTGACCCTGGAGCACAAAACTAGTCATAAGGGTCAATTTAGTGAAATTGAGGTTTATGCATCATCTGAAAGCCGAATAAATAATCTTTCCATTGATGTATGGTTTGTTAGGATAGGACAATATTTGTTGGCTGAGATACTACTAGTTGAAAATCTGGAA